GAGAGGGAGGCGGCGGCGACCGGGCAGGAGGTGGCGCTGGACTTGCTGGACGTAATGGAGGTGGTGGAGGTCGTGGCTGAGGAGCAGGAGGAGGGGGACGAGGACTTCAGGCTGGCACCGCTAGCCTGGTTACCCAAGGTGACCCGGCCACCATTGGAGGCTTTGGAGATCCTTCAGTTGGAGCTGGGAGCGGTGAATGCCCGAGGCAGCAGGGCTTCTGCTCGGCTCAAGCGGAAACTTGGGCAGACAAGCAGGCGTCACCTTGAGCGGCGAACGGCCATCATCCAGGACATCCCTGGCTTCTGGGCCAAAGTCGTATCCTTTGGGCTGTGTGTCGAGGGTGGCTGCCAAAGGGNTTTCGTAATCCTGAGGGACACGTTGTAGTAGTGCTCTCTGCCTCTAGACCCTATGAAATCCCGCGCAGCAACATATAGAGCAACACACGGGCCCGACCCTCAGAGAACCTTGCTCTGTCTGTGGGCTGGAACTGAAATACTCAGCCCTGTTCACAGTGCCCGCTTCGTGTCCTTAAGTACTTTATATTGCCTGGGTTCGGTGCCACGCAAGACGCCGGCATGGACTATGGAGTGGAACAGTCAGTGGAGTTTGCAAAGGGCAAACCGGCTGTGTGTGCGCACTGCACCTGGCAAGCTGGGAGGGCTTCCTGGAGGCACGGGCCAGGGCTCGCAGGCAGGGCAGTTGTGTCCCAGATGCCTGCGTTCAGGAAGCGGGGCCATCGTGGGTGACAGCTTCTACCTCTTCCTCCATTGGCCGTGGAGCCATAGTAACGGTCTGGGCGTGGCTGGGCGACTGGCGCCAAGAAGCCTGCAGAGGGCGCCAAAGCCCCGCGCATGCGCCCTTAGCCGTGCCCGAGCGCGAGGCTCCCGGAAGTTCCCAGAGCCGCAACCTACCCGCGGCTCAGCTTCTCTCGCTGCTGCGGGGGGTGTGCAGGTCAAGGGTCTCGGCCTTGCGTCCCCGGCGCAGCTGAGCCTGCGGAGGACCAGGGCAGCATGGCGAGTGAGGCGGGCTCCCGGGAGGAAGGGCCTCCCGCGGAACCCTGGATGAACATAGGTGTGGGAAAGGGCACTGAGGAGGGAGGGGCCGGTAGGCCCGTGCCAGAGGCCAGTAATGGCGTGGGGTGTGCGACCCAGGCCGAGTTGGGTGGGACGCCCGAGGAGGCCTCCGGGACCAGGGTTGAAGCTCTGCAGGTAAGCGAGGCCGTGGCGGAGAGGGAGGCGGCGGCGGCGACCGGGCAGGAGTTGGCGGCGGTTTTGTTTGAGGCA